CTATTATTTTGACTTTTTCGATTTTAATTTATAGTTTTCCAGTTTAAGAGAGAGTTTCCAATTGGTTATTATATATATATATATATATATATATATATATATATATATATAGACTCATTCAAGGGAGAACTGACTAGTTTGTGGTAACCGTGAGATCCAATCTCAACCACAAATCAATAGATAAATTAGGAAATTTATAATTTTGGTAATTTTAAATTAAAATTTTAATGTAAGGACATTTTAGGTATTTTTTCTCCTTTCTCCTCTCTCCGTCCCCCGTCCTCAAGCCTCTGGCCACCGTCTTCCGGTGATACCACTGTGATACCTACAAATATTGACCATGTTAAACAAAAGACATAGTGTGATACCCAATCACATATAAGATGCATTGTGATACCACTGTGTTACATATCCGATCGACCACACAAACGACCTCAGTGTGATACCCAATCACATATAAGATGCATTGTGATACCACTGTGTTACATCTCCGATTGACCACACAAACGACCTCAGTGTGATACTCAAGCACATATACGATGCATTGTGATACCACTGTGGTATCATCGGAGGACGGGAGACGGAGAGAGAGAAGAGAGGAGGGTTTTAAAATACCTAAAATGTTCTTGCATTAAAATTTTAATTCAAAATTACCAAAATTATAAATTTATTAATTTATCTATTGATTTGTTGTTAAGATTGGACCTCACAGTTACCACAAACTAATTAGTTCTCATTTGATTAGGCCCACATATATAATAATAATAATAATAATAATAATAATAATAATAATTTCTTAAATTAACTAATTATGCATTGGTGAGTAATAAAATATGCTTAAAAATATGTTTTTTTTAGAGTATGACCTAAATGTTTTATAATATAGTATAGATAATCTTAAAAGTTAAGTAATTATACATCGATGAGTAGCAAATTATACTTAATGATATATTTTTAAGAGTATAATATAGTATCAATAATTAGCAACAATTAGCAACAATAAATTAATATACATGTGATAACCGGATTTATAAAGTTTGGGGTTGGTTTTGATTAAAGGCAAAAGTTAAGGGGTGGTTGATTTGAAAATGAATTTAAAATGTTTTAACTCCCTACCGCCTTATATATTATATATGAGATATTTTGTTATCTCTTGGGTGTGGTGAAAAGAAAGGTTGGTAAAATCGAAGCAAAACAGAAATCAAAGAGAAAAGAAGGAAGAAGCATCTGTGATTAATTTCTTGGTTCGTTGTTGTTTTAAAGTCTTCTTCTCTGTGAATTATAAAGTTAGTTTTAAAGTCTTCATCTCTGTGAATTATAAAGTCAGTTTTATTTTAAAAAAACTTTTATTTGATAGTATTAGATCAAAGTCATATGATTTTATATGTGGGGTGTTTTGAAAACTGTTATTATGTTATTTTTAGCATAATCTTATATTTTGATATGTTAACATCAAAAGATTGGAATAAGTGTGACATAATCAGGAGAGGTGTATTTTGGATAAGAGTGGCATAATCATAAAATGTGTATTTTGGGATAAGAGTGGCATAATCAGGAGAAGTGTATTTTAGGATAATGATGACATAATCAACTGTATGTTAAAACTGGGACTTTTAATCATGTAAAGAACTGTTATCGCATCTTCATGATGTGATGACTTTGGTTTATCGCATGCTTATAATGCGATAAGATGTTTTATCGCATATTTGTGATGCGAGAAGGGTGTTTGTCACATCCTTGAGATGCGACAAGTTAGGTTATCACATCCTATTAATGTGACAAGAGACATTTATCGCATGTATTGGATACGATGGGATAGGTTATCACATCTGTGTGATCAGAGGAAAATGGGGTTGTCTCATTCTTGTGATGCGAGAAAAATTGTGGTTTTATCTATATGATGCGACAAGTTTATGTGTAATGAGACAAATGAGTTACTTTATTGTTTGATGCGATAAGTGGGTGTTGTCTCATCTTGATGAGACAGAAAGATGTTTATTTTGATAAAATACTGTTTATTTGTTATTTATGCAAATATAGGTTTATAAAAGAGTTTTGGTGATTTTCACTCTGTAATAGCAATTAAAAAGAGATTTCTCAGTAGACTTCATGGTCTAACCCCCATTTATGTTTTAAAATGTGCATTACAGGTCGGATACAACCAAAGGAAAAGGGGGAAGGGAAAATAGAGGGATTCATGATTGCTTTACATACGTGGCTTTTGGAAGATGTGATATTATTTGTACCTGAATACTTGTTATATTTACAAATCTTGTACAAAGTATTTATGGAAAAAATTTGGTAACTACTTTTGTAATGTAATCTTTTGTATACGGGGACCAAATGTGTAAATTGATATTTCATAATATGGTTATATGCAAATGTGAATTTAGGGTGTTACAATACATAATATTAATTTGAGTTAAATACAAATTTGGTCCCTATGGTTTACATAAAATAACGAGTAAGGTCCTTGGAAGAAACTATTAACAAGGGACGTACTTATAGTTTCATTTTTATAACAAATAAGATTCTTTCTTTAACTCATTTAGTTAAGTTCCCGTTAGTGAAGGATATTTTTATCCATTCACCTTTCTCTTTCTTTAACTTCAATTTTCAATAACAAATTTGGTCTCTCATACTACTTTTTATTTTTGTAACATATTTGGTCTCTCAAACTAATTTACATTAGTATAACAAATTTGGTCCCTCAAGAATTTTTTATTTTTATAACAAATTTGGTCCCTTTCTCAACATTGACCAAATATGTTACAAAGGGAAAAGTAGTATGAGAGACCAAATTTGTTTTTGAAAATTGAAGTTAAGATAAGATGAAGGTGAATAGATAAAAATGTCCCCTCGCTAACGGAAACTTAACTGAATGAGTTAGAGGAATGACATTATCTGTTATAAAAATGAAACTATAGAGACGTCTCTTATTAATAATTTCTTTCAAAGACCTTACTCGTTAATTTATGTAAACCACATGGACCAAATTTGTATTTACGACAATTTCGTGGAAAATTTTTACTACAAACAATACGAGGATGAAGGTGTAGAGGCTACTTTTGCTTCAAGTTAACAGAAAATGTGAATCTGATAAGATATTTTCTAATAATTCATGAACTTGATTATATTTAGAGTTCTTTTTTAAATTTAACATCGATATTGTTATACTCTCTCTATATATATCAAAGGATTAAAGCTGAGTTTCGATGAGAGTAAAAGTTATAGTGAGAAGCATAAGAATGAATTTTCACCATTGCATCAATCCTAATTGAATGTCAACACTAATAAGATGCACGAAGATTCACCAGATCAGTTCCTTTATATAACGCAAGTTATGAGTGGACATGAGAATAAAAGTGATTAAAGGTTCAGATCTATTCTTACACTTTTCACTATAACTTCTTTTTTCTTATGTTTCTCATCATAACTTCCTTTTTCATATGATCCTTCGTCTCTCTCTCTCTCTCTCTCTCTCTCTCTATCTATATATATATATATATATATATATATTTATATTTATATCTCGGGGCTGGTTCAAATAGAAACCAATCATATGGTACAAACTATGTGAACCGATCTTAATCGTTCATTTTATCATCAAACGGTTATTATTAAATGAGATTAAATAAACAATAATTTAATTAATGTATTAATTGATATGTGTATAAACAATTGTTCAAAGGGTAAATTGGTCAAACGGTCATTATTAAATGAATATTAAAAAAAAATCAATTAATCATTAAATTAATTGGGCTGCTTATGAACAATTGTTCACAGGGTATTTTGGTAA